GCTATTGGATATTTCTTGCTATTGCGCAATACTATGCAATTGAAGATTTCTTGCTATTGCGCAATACTGTGCAATTGAAGATTTCTTGCTATTGTGCAATACTGTGCAATTGAAAATTTCTTGCTATTGCACAATACTTATTATATAATAATTTACACATCCTGTTTGGTGTGGATCTCCTACCATATCATTATTATTATAATCAGAAATAACCAACTCTAAATGGAAAATTTTAAAAGGAAACCCCCCCCCCCAAAAAAAAATTTTTTGAACCCCCTTATGATTCATCACCCCCAAACTCAATCCCAGCCTTCCCTTTGTGGTATGGTACCTTGCAGTACAATTTCAGAGAGATCCATACACTTGAACACAAGTTATTGTCTGGAAACTAGAAAAATGTGTTTTTTGGCCCCCAATTCCTAAACGTTTAGGGCAATTACCCCCAAACTCAATTCCAGCTTTCCCTTTGTGATATGGAACCTTGTAGTACAATTTCAGAAATATCCAAACACTTACACACAAGTTATTGTCATGAAACTAGAAAAATGCTTGTTTTTTGCCCCTTTTTTGCCCCCTAATTCCTAAAATTTTGAGGCAATTACCCCCAAAATTAATCCCAGCATTCCCTGTGTGATATGGAACCTTGTGGTACAATGTCAGAGAGATCCATACACTAACACACAAGTTATGTCTGGAAGTTACAAAAATGCTTATTTTTGGCCCCTTTTTGGCCCCTTATTCCTTAACTGTTGGTACCATAACCCCCAAAATCAATCCCAACCTTCCTTTTGTGGTATTGAACCTTATGGTAAAATTTAATAGAGATCAATTCACTTAAACTAAAGTTAGAGTGCGAAAACCAATGTGTCTTCGGACGACGCCGGACGACGCCTGACGACGACGACGACGCCAACGTCATACCAATATACGACCGCAAAATTTTTTTGCGGTCGTATAAAAAGGGGGGGTTCCAGTTTTCGGACAATAACTCAAGAATGTTTTGAGCAGTCATCGTGAAACTTTGATGACTGGTTTATATCTATTGAAATAACCTCCCTTTAGTTTTTATAAATTTCTGATATGATAGTGAGAAGTTATGGAACTATGTTCATCGAAAAAGCTCCTTGTCTGCGTGTTGCTAGTGTTGGCCAGCCAAGTGTCTGTAGGATGTTGGTTACAGAACCTGGTTCCCGAGAATAGGTTGTTCAATGTAGTTTTTGTAGATCAAGTCGGATGAATTATGTAATGACAAAGCATACAATATTTGAATACTTAAATTGTAAATAAAATTTAACTTCTGTTTATCTATCTTGATAGTAATTTTTGTTGTCATCTATCTAAAGCACGTGAATAAAGTAAAATCACACAACAATATTGCACTTTGGATGAGTTTGGTAGAAAAGTCACGACAACAACCTAACTTCCGGTTGGTTTTGTTTAATACACAGAAGTACTGCAGTTGCTCCGTTCGATAGACAATGGTCAGAGATATTTTGAATGAGGAAGGTTTTATTATGGGAAACTATTATAATAACAGTTTTATTTAACATTCAAATACCAAACCTGTTTTCGTAAATTAGAACATTCTTAAAACTTATATCTGTTATGATTATTTAAAAGAAAATCTATATGTAATATGAATTGTAACTGAACCTTGTGAAAACACTGTTTATTCTAAACTAAAGATAATGTTATTTATAGCGGGGAAATCGTGTCATTCTATAATGGGCATAAAATATGACTTGTACTCAGAGGCGTATTAAGTGGGGGACAGGGGTCCCGTCCCTTTGTAGGAAAATTCGTTTGACTAACTAAGTTATTTAGGGATCAGTGAAGCATGACTGGAGTGGGACCCCTCTTGGCCACTACCACCCCCTTTATCAAAATTTCTGGATCTGCACTGGTACTGCATACATACTTTTATCATCGGTACTTTATATTTTTCTCCTTTGCTTTGTTTTTACTTTTATATTCCGGCTCTGCGCTCAATTTAACTGTGCTTTTTTCAGTGTTGCTATCATGGGTACTGTGACATCTTGTTTCACTTAATAATGCTTTCACATTGATATGCATTTTATTTTATTTGCATGTCTTAAATTGTTTACATGAATTGTATACGCCTTTTATTTGTTCGTTGGTAAAAAGCTGTACAGAGCTTACATTATTATAGGTTTATAATGTACCAAAATTTATTTTTTTCAACCTTGTTATGTTTTATAGTCTCACTTATGGGTACTTATTGGTCATCCCTAATGACCGACTTGTTTTGTATTTCTGTGAAGCAGAATTCCTACAAAACATTTCAAAGATAATAAATTGCTTCGCCAGGCGCAGCTAGATACGACCGTGGAGGTCCTACCATGAACAGTTGGGGCAAAAATGGACACAATATTCGCGCTTGGGTCTGAATATGGATTGTAATTAAATATTTGACACATAATAGGATTCTGACAGAGAATAACTGTAGTCAAGGAACTTAGAATTGGTTATATGTTTCAATTTATATTAATTTTTTTGGCTTATATGCAATACACTATGCTGTTGCGAATTGACCTCCCTACTCAAAAAAATACACCCCTTAAGCTTTGCTTTTGTGCAATACACTATGCTGTTGCGTATTGACCCCTAATTTTTTTTTGCTCTTGTGCATTATACACTATTATGCTGTTGTTTATTGACACCTCCCCTTTTTTTTTGGCAAAAATAAATTATATTTTAAGAAAATGTCTTTTTAATTTCTGAAATTTCTTTAATCTAAAATTTAAAATTCCAAATAGAATTTGCAACCATAATAATCATTTAAATACATCCTAAAATTCTTTTTTAAAACAGTTAGTTCTCTCTTGATGGCTGTATTTTTGACATTTTCACCTGTTATGTCTGTTTGATTTGTTCACACGTCGTTGTCAATATAATGGAATTTGATGTGACTGTCATACAAGTGAGAGGTTTAGCTAGTTATAAAAGCAGGCTCAATCCACCATTTTCTACATAAGAAAGTGCTTGTACCAAGTCAGAATATGATAGTTGTTATCCATTCATTTCATGTGTTTGAGCTTTTGATTTTGCCATTTGATTAGGGACTTTCCGTTTTGAATTTTTCTCAGAGTTTAGTATTTTTGTGATTTTACTTTTTTCTAAAAACAAATTGGCAGCAAATCACCTCAAGACAATACATTTCGTTATACATGATTTAAAAGTAGTGTAAGGGATGTTATTCAAACGTAACATTCATGTACATACTTAAGTAAGTAATAGTCCATCAAACAGTAAATCATTGTTTTCCCCTAATTCCTAATTGGTTTAAGCTATAACCCTCAAAAGCCAATCCTAACCATGCTTTTGAGGAATGGAAAATCGTGGTATAATTTCAGAGAGATCCATACAATGTTCCATAAGTTATTGTCTGGAAACTAGAAAAATGTTTTTTTGGGCCCCTTTTTGCCTCCTTAAATCCCTAAACTGTTGGGACCACAACCCCTTAAATCAACCCCAACCTTTCTTGTGTGGTTATAAACCTTGTGTTCAAATTTCATACATTTCTATTTACTTATACTAAAGTTATTTAATTATTTAATGTAAATTTGAAAATAATTGATAATCATTATGAATGTCAAAAGTGTATAATTAATTTTGAAGTGTTTTGGTTGTGGTGATAAAAAAACATGTTGCAAAAAAAGACTAGATGTGTCGAAACGACACAAATGGCCCCATCTCAAAAAGTTGAAAAATCTGCAATTTTAAACAACACATGTGAACACAAACATGATGGTAGTCTCACATATCAAAATTCTGCTCAAAATCTTCAGGCTTTAAAAAACTCCATATGCATTTTAACTGTGATTTTCGACCATTTATCAAAGAGGGACGAAAGATACCAGAGGGACAGTCAAACTCATAGATCGAAAACAAACTGACAACGTCATGGCCAAAAATAAAAAGACAAACAGACAAATAATAGTACAGATGACACAACATAGAAAACTAAAGACTAAGCAACACGAACCCCACCAAAAACTGGGGGTGATCTCAGGTGCTCCGGAAGGGTAAGTAGATCCTGCTCCACATGTGGCACCCGTCGAGTTGCTTATGTTATTACAAATCCGGTAAATAGTCTAATTCGGTAAGTCACATTCGTGAAAAGGGAAGGGTATTGTAGTTACGACATAAGGAACATATCCGATATCATCTGTGAAACGGTTATTCCATAACGGTCAACCAACTCAAAGTTCAAAGCCTGTAATTTTGGGGAAAATTAGCGAAGCGGAACTAAACATAAACTTGATCTGTAACTCATCATGGTTAACTCACATACCAGAAATCAGCCCAATATCTGAAGGCGTTTAGAAAAAAACCTGTATAACTGTGATTTTCAACAATTTATCGAAGTCCAAAGCCCGTAATTTCGGCAAAAATAGTAGAGCAGGACAAAACTCAAACTTGATCTGTAACTCATTATGGTTAACTCACATACCAAAAATCAGCCCAATATCTGAAGGCCTTTAGAAAAAAAAGTCTGTATAACTGTGATTTTCAACAATTTATCGAAGTCCAAAGCCTGTAATTTTGGCAAAAATTAGTGGAGCAGAACGAAACTAAAACTTCATCTTAAACTCATCATGGTGAACTCACATACCAAAAATCAGCCTGATATCTAAAGGCATTTAGAAAAAAAGCCCGTATAATGGTTTGTTGCGGAATGACGGAATGACAGAATGATGGAAAGATGGATTGACGGAATGATGGAATGACAGACAAGGGTAAAACTATATGGCCCCGACAGCTTTGTTGCGGGGCCATAAAAAGCTTCATCTTGTGTAATTACTAGTTCATGAAGATCAAAAATGTTCTCAACTTGGAAGAAAAACACAGCACTTGGTATCATTCCAACATGAACTGTACAGAAGCTGCTGCTTAATTTGATGAAAAGCCACAACTCTATCTAGCTACTGAGAAGTGCTACAATGTTTATATATAAGCAGCACATAAACAGTAACAAGAAAGGCTGTTAACCTGTGAACTTTTAGACGACAGCAATTTCTCAATATTTAAACTTATCAGATTGATGTAGAAAACAGAAACTACATGAGACAAAACAGAAACTATACTTCCAGACCAGTACACCCTGCCCTTACTATGAAATCACATTCTCTCACAGATTTACTCCCTCTCTATATTCCACTCACAATCATATACCCTCACCCTCTCCATCATTCTATTTTTCTCCCTCCCTTTCTCACCCTTTCACCCTATCATAACACCCTTAACCACCTACCACCTAATACCCCTTCTGCTTCGTGTTAAGTCCCTATGAGAAAATTGGGTTAGTAGATGAATACGATATTATAAGATGTACCAGATATGGAAGATCTTAAATTTTAGAAATGTGAAGGAAATTTAGAACTGATTGATATCAAACATAAATATATGAACCTGAGCCACTTTTAGAAATGTAGTCTTATTTTCTACACATAATGGTCATCATAGCATTCGTACAAAAGATTAACAGCCAACGTTACAGAAAGCCAAATTGTGTAATGTAAATTTGAAAATAGAATGCGGTTTTGATTGATAAACATTATGGAGGCCAAAAAGTATATATCCCACTCTTAATTTTGAAGTGTTTTTGGTGTGTTGATTACAAAATATGTTGAAAAAAATGAAAAAAACATAAATGAAAATTGCCAAATGGTATAAATCCAAAACACATAAAACAAAAAGCCAAATGAAAAATGCCAAAGTTTAAAAATGCCAAATGGTATTAAAAATACCTGTCTGCTTGTACTAGCCAGCCGGCCTGTGGGTTAGCTGGACTTTAAGGTGCTAGTTCACCAAGACAAATGCCCACAGTAGGTCACCTATCTTTTCCTTTTGGAGTACCAGTTTTTAAGTCTTTGATTTGACTTGGGGGCTCAACATTTAACTAAAAAAAAGATAAAAAAAAAAGGTCTCCTGTATAAATTAAAATTTGGTCTTAAAAAGTAAAATATTCCCTTTGTCCCCCACACCCAAATGGATAAAATAATGTAAAAAGTCCCTCATTTCCCAAATAATCATAAAATGACCTGCCTCAACTTATAAATTAGGATAAAAACAGTAAAATATCTCCAATTAAAATTTGGATAAAAACAGTAAAATATCCCCAATTAAAATTTGGATAAAAACAGTAAAATATCCCCAATTAAACTTTGGATAAAAACAAATAAAATACTTTTTTCCCCTTAAAAGCATGTTACAGAGCTTCACATGCAGACTGAGCCACCTCACTCTCAGTTTGTTCCAGTAAAAACAATAAGATATCCCCAATTAAAATTTGGATAAAAACAGTAAAATATCCCCAATTAAAATTTGGATAAAAACAAATAAAATACTTTTTTCCCCTTAAAAGCATGTTACAGAGCTTCACATGCAGACTGAGCCACCTCACTCTCAGTTTGTTCTAGTAAAAACAATAAAATATCCCCAATTAAAATTTGGATAAAAACAGTAAAATATCCCCAATTAAAATTTGGATAAAAACAGTAAAATATCCCCAATTAAAATTTGGATAAAAACAGTAAAATATCCCCAATTAAAATTTGGATAAAAACAGTAAAATATCCCCAATTAAAATTTGGATAAAAACAAATAAAATACTTTTTTCCCCTTAAAAGCATGTTACAGAGCTTCACATGCAGACTGAGCCACCTCACTCTCAGTTTGTTCCAGTAAAAACAATAAAATATCCCCAATTAAAATTTGGATAAAAACAGTAAAATATCCCCAATTAAAATTTGGATAAAAACAGTAAAATATCCCCAATTAAAATTTGGATAAAAACAAATAAAATACGTTTTCCCCTTAAAAGCATGTTACAGAGCTTCACATGCAGACTGAGCCACCTCACTCTCAGTTTGTTCCAGTAAAAACAATAAAATATCCCCAATTAAAATTTGGATACAAACAGTAAAATATCCCCAATTAAAATTTGGATAAAAACAATAAAATATCCCCAATTAAAATTTGGATAAAAACAGTAAAATATCCCCAATTAAAATTTGGATAAAAACAAATAAAATACTTTTTACAATTAAAAGCATGTTACAGAGCTTCACATGCAGGCTGAGCCACCTCACTCTCAGTTTGTTCCAGTAAAAACAATAAAATATCCCCAATTAAAATTTGGATAAAAACAGTAAAATATCCCCAATTAAAATTTGGATAAAAACAATAAAGTATCCCCAATTAAAATTTGGATAAAAACAGTAAAATATCCCCAATTAAAATTTGGATAAAAACAATAAAATATCCCCAATTAAAATTTGGATAAAAACAGTAAAATATCCCCAATTAAAATTTGGATAAAAACAATAAAATATCCCCAATTAAAATTTGGATAAAAACAGTAAAATATCCCCAATTAAAATTTGGATAAAAACAATAAAATATCCCCAATTAAAATTTGGATACAAACAGTAAAATATCCCCAATTAAAATTTGGATAAAAACAATAAAATATCCCCAATTAAAATTTGGATAAAAACAGTAAAATATCCCCAATTAAAATTTGGATAAAAACAAATAAAATACTTTTTACAATTAAAAGCATGTTACAGAGCTTCACATGCAGGCTGAGCCACCTCACTCTCAGTTTGTTCCAGTAAAAACAATAAAATATCCCCAATTAAAATTTGGATAAAAACAGTAAAATATCCCCAATTAAAATTTGGATAAAAACAGTAAAATATCCCCAATTAAAATTTGGATAAAAACAAATAAAATACTTTACAATTAAAAGCATGTTACAGAGCTTCACATGCAGGCTGAGCCACCTCACTCTCAGTTTGTTCTAGTAAAAACAATAAAATATCCCCAATTAAAATTTGGATAAAAACAGTAAAATATCCCCAATTAAAATTTGGATAAAAACAGTAAAATATCCCCAATTAAAATTTGGATAAAAACAGTAAAATATCCCCAATTAAAATTTGGATAAAAACAGTAAAATATCCCCAATTAAAATTTGGATAAAAACAAATAAAATACTTTTTACAATTAAAAGCATGTTACAGAGCTTCACATGCAGGCTGAGCCACCTCACTCTCAGTTTGTTCCAGTAAAAACAATAAAATATCCCCAATTAAAATTTGGATAAAAACAGTAAAATATCCCCAATTAAAATTTGGATAAAAACAGTAAAATATCCCCAATTAAAATTTGGATAAAAACAGTAAAATATCCCCAATTAAAATTTGGATAAAAACAGTAAAATATCCCCAATTAAAATTTGGATAAAAACAGTAAAATATCCCTAATTAAAATTTGGATAAAAACAGTAAAATATCCCCAATTAAAATTTGGATAAAAACAATAAAATATCCCCAATTAAAATTTGGATAAAAACAGTAAAATATCCCCAATTTAAATTTGGATAAAAACAATAAAATATCCCCAATTAAAATTTGGATAAAAACAGTAAAATATCCCCAATTAAAATTTGGATAAAAACAATAAAATATCCCCAATTAAAATTTGGATAAAAACAGTAAAATATCCCCAATTAAAATTTGGATAAAAACAATAAAATATCCCTAATTAAAATTTGGATAAAAACAGTAAAATATCCCCAATTAAAATTTGGATAAAAACAATAAAATATCCCCAATTAAAATTTGGATACAAACAGTAAAATATCCCCAATTAAAATTTGGATAAAAACAATAAAATATCCCCAATTAAAATTTGGATAAAAACAGTAAAATATCCCCAATTAAAATTTGGATAAAAACAGTAAAATATCCCCAATTAAAATTTGGATAAAAACAAATAAAATACTTTACAATTAAAAGCATGTTACAGAGCTTCACATGCAGGCTGAGCCACCTCACTCTCAGTTTGTTCTAGTAAAAACAATAAAATATCCCCAATTAAAATTTGGATAAAAACAGTAAAATATCCCCAATTAAAATTTGGATAAAAACAGTAAAATATCCCCAATTAAAATTTGGATAAAAACAGTAAAATATCCCCAATTAAAATTTGGATAAAAACAGTAAAATATCCCCAATTAAAATTTGGATAAAAACAAATAAAATACTTTTTACAATTAAAAGCATGTTACAGAGCTTCACATGCAGGCTGAGCCACCTCACTCTCAGTTTGTTCCAGTAAAAACAATAAAATATCCCCAATTAAAATTTGGATAAAAACAGTAAAATATCCCCAATTAAAATTTGGATAAAAACAGTAAAATATCCCCAATTAAAATTTGGATAAAAACAGTAAAATATCCCCAATTAAAATTTGGATAAAAACAGTAAAATATCCCTAATTAAAATTTGGATAAAAACAGTAAAATATCCCCAATTAAAATTTGGATAAAAACAGTAAAATATCCCCAATTAAAATTTGGATAAAAACAAATAAAATACTCTGTACATTAAAAGCATGTTACAGAGCTTCACATGCAGGCTGAGCCACCTCACTCTCAGTTTGTTCCAGTAAAAACAATAAAATATCCCCAATTAAAATTTGGATAAAAACAGTAAAATATCCCCAATTAAAATTTGGATAAAAACAATAAAATATCCCCAATTAAAATTTGGATAAAAACAGTAAAATATCCCCAATTAAAATTTGGATAAAAACAAATAAAATACTTTACAATTAAAAGCATGTTACAGAGCTTCACATGCAGGCTGAGCCACCTCACTCTCAGTTTGTTCTAGTAAAAACAATAAAATATCCCCAATTAAAATTTGGATAAAAACAGTAAAATATCCCCAATTAAAATTTGGATAAAAACAAATAAAATACTTTTTACAATTAAAAGCATGTTACAGAGCTTCACATGCAGACTGAGCCACCTCACTCTCAGTTGGTGCAAAAAAATGTTGACTGAGCCATCGCACATCAGTCAAACCGAGCCACCTCACTCTCAGTTTAACGTACCAGTAAGAATGGATACTTGATACGTATACGGGGGACGTTCCTATACCTAAAAGGGAGGTATAGTATCTGTGAACCCCAAACACAGAGCGCGGCTTAACTTCGTCATACGTATACACAAGTATCCAATGCTAACTGATACATAACGTTGTCATGTTTTTCATGTCAGTCACTGAAAATAATTTTTATGTTACAACTGAAATAATAACAAAAACCTTGATTCCAAGTTGCCTGTGGTAGGAAGTGAAATAATATCAAAAACCTTGATTCCAAGTTGCCTGTGTTAAGAAGTGAAATAACTTCTCTGTAAAATATATCTAGTTTTGAAATTCTTGATGGTTTTCTTAAGGATTGAAGAACATGTGGCATTCCGGTAAACACAGTGTGACAGCAACTCAACTATAAAGTAAAACCAGAAAGATATGAAAATGTAAAAAGTTGAGGTCTGGAGCTGGCATGTCAGTAACTGTTAGTATTCTGTTGTTATTTATGTATTATTGTCATTTTGTTTATTTTCTTTTGTTTCATATTCTGACATCGAACTCGGACAACTCTTAAACTGAGTTTCACCGTGTGTATTTTTGTGCGATTTTTTTTCTACATTGTCTAGAGATACAAGGGGAGAGTTGAGATCTCAAAAATACATGTTTAACCCCGCCACAATTTTGTGCCTATCCCAAGTCAGGAGCCTCTGGCCTTTGTTACTCTTGTATGATTTTCAATTGTAGTTTCTTGTGTATAATTAGTTTAGTATGATGTCCATTATCACTGAACTAATATATATGTTTAAGGGCCAGCTGAAGGACGCATTAGGGTGCGGGAGTTTCTAGCTGCATTCAAGACCCATAAGGGGCCTTCAGCTGTTGTCTGCTCTATGGTCGAGTTGTTGTCTCTTTGACACATTCCCCATTTCCATTCTCAATTTTAGTCTTTAATCATTACTTTTTCAAATTATGACTTGGATTGAGAGTTGCCTCATTGGCACTCATACCACATATTCTTATATCTATTTAACAATGACTTGTTCTTAGGTGGAAAGTCATTTTACTATTTATTCGAATTTCAAGATATCTCATAATATATAAGATATGTTATATAATATATAAGATATCTAATATATGATATCTTATTTAATGTATAAGATATCTTATTCAATATATGATAGCTTATAATTTCATTTTTATACAATATCTTATATATCAAATGAGATATCATATATATTATATAAGATATAGATATCTTATATATTATATAAGATATCTCATAAAGTATATAAGATATATTACATACTTTATATGATATCTTCTGAATTTTATAAGATATCTCATATTTTATAAATTTTATGAGATATCTTATAAACTATATAAGATATCTTATATAATATGTGAGAAAGCTTATAAAATTATATGAGATATCTTATATAGTTAATGAGATATCTTATATAGTTTATAAGATATCTTATATAGTTTATAAGATATCTTATATAGTTTATAAGATATCTTATAGATATCTTATATATTTTATTAGATATCATTGGCATTTAAGGATAGTTATTCTCATTGGCAACCCTTCCATATATCCTTATTTTTTATATGGTTGAGAGATAAATGTAGTTTCCTGTGTGTATAACTGTACATTGAGTTGCACTTTCAGGCTAAAAATAGACTTGATAAATTTCTGGCAGCACATCTATCAAGAATTAGCATATGACAATTTATTCTGTTATAAGTTTCAAGAAAGAAAATAAAAATTTGTCTATCTTTTATGTTGTTTTTGTTTATTCTAAACATATAAAACATTTTCATAATTCATTTAAATGAGCAAAATTTCTTCAATTCATACCAAGAATGTACCGTTTTAAACAAATTCTACTGAAATCTGAAGAATACCGTACAAGTTCTTCAAGTCTTTAATAGCATACAAATGTTTGTCACAGGCTATTATGGCCTTGTAAGTGTTCATATGAAAAATACCACATTTAGGTCATACAAATGCTAGTCCAGATAACATCCATGTAGTCTTTGAATTATTTGATTATTGTCTCATTTCTGTTAAGGATTCACTTCTGATACAATTGACCTTATTCAAAGATGACTTGTTGACAACTCCTCTTCAACCAAATTGCTTGTTCTGAACTTCTCTCAACATACTGAAAAGTAAAAATAAGATTTATTATCCCTAAAGTATGCATGTTTAAGTTTAATCAGCCATTCATATGTAAAGTTTAGTTTAATCAATTTTGAATAATTGGTAAATGATTATAAAAAAGATCTGGAATGATTTCCAATGAGACAAATCTCAACAAGAGACCAAATGGCACAGAAATTTACTACTTTAAGTCACAGAACATGGTCATAGATAAAAGGCTCCAAAATTACCATGTAAAATAATTCAAACAAGAAAACTAATGGCCTGATATAAGTACAAAACTAGAGGCTCTAAAGAGCCTGTGTCGCTCACCTTGGTCTATGTTCATACTAAACAAAGGACATACATAATAGATGAGAATAGAATTCATGACAAAACTATATTTTGGTGTTGATGATGTGTTTGTCAATCTTACTTTACTGAACATTCTTGCTGTTTCGATTTTCTCTATCTATAATGAACTTGGCTCAGTAGTTTCAAAGGAAAATATTATGTAAAAGTTTACAAAAATTTACATAATTTACGAAAATTGTTTAAAATTTACTATAAAAAGCAATAACTCCTTATTGACTGTTTTGGTCAAGTTGACTTTTGTGTACAATTTGGAGTTTAGTATGGCGTTCATTATCACTGAACTAGTATATATATTTGTTTAGGGGCCAGCTGAAGGACGCCTCCGGGTGCGGGAATTTCTCGCTGCATTGAAGACCTGTTGGTGACCTTCTGCAGTTGTCTGTTCTATGGTCGGGTTGTTGTCTCTTTGACACATTCCCCATTTCCATTCTCAATTTTATTATTTGTAGATCTTACTTTGCTATACATAATTGCTGTTTACAGTTTATCTTTATCTAAGATAATATTGAAGATAATAACCAAAAACTGCAAAATTTTCTTAAAATTACCAATTCAGGGGCAGGAACCCAACAACAGGTTGCCTGATTTGTCTGAAAATTTCAGGGCAGTTAGATCTTGACTTAATGAACATATTTTAATGAATGAGATTTGCTCTAAATGCTTTGAATTCAGAGATATTAGGCAAAAATTGCATTTTACCCCTATATACTATTTTTAGCCATGTCTGCCATCTTGGTTTGTGGACGGGGTCATTGGACACATTTTTAAAACTACATACCCTTAAGATGATGATTGCCAAGTTTGGTTAAATTTGTCAAAGTAGTTTCAGAGGAGAAGATTTTTTTAAAAGATTACTAAAATTTTAGAAAAATTGTTAAAAATTGACTATAAAGGGCAATAACTCCTTAAGGGGTCAACTGACAATTTAGGTCATGTTGATTTATTTGTAGATCTTACTTTGCTGAACATTATTGCTGTTTTCAGTTTATCTCTTTCTATAATAATATTCAAGATTATAACCAAAAACTGCAAAATTTCCTTAAAATTACTAAATCGGGGGCAGCAACCAAACAACGGGTTGTCCGATTTGTCTGTAAATTTCAGGGCAGATAGATCTTGACCTGATAAACAGTTTTACCCCAGTCAGATTTGCTCTAAATGCTTTGGTTTCAGAGATATAAGCCAAAATCTACATTTTACCCCTATGTTCTATTTTTAGCCATGGCGGCCATCTTGGTTAGTTGGCCGGGTCATCGCACACATTTTTTTTAAACTAGATACCCCAATGATGATTGTAGCCAAGTTTGGTTAAATTTGGCCCAGTAGTTTCAGAGGAGAAGATTTTTGTAAAAGTTTACGGACGACAGACGACGGAGCCAAGTGATGAGAAAAGCTCACTTGGCCCTTCGGGCCAGGTGAGCTAAAAATAGGCACGTAAACACTGAGATTACTATATAATAATACTATGCTTTGGGGTAGACATCAACCTGAACCATTGATCTTTTGATTCTTAAACCTTCACCCCAGCCACACAAACACACACACAGTCGATGCCTAATGCAGAAGTTCTGTTCTGTTCATACTTTCGTAACAATATTCAAGAAATTCATATTTTCTTATATCCTCTACTGTAAAATCCCTACCTGCTTAGGAATTTGAATTAATGTGGTCATTACACGCAGATCTGAGATTACTGGAAGATAGTTGATTGATTTATTGCTAAACATCCAGTGGCAAATAGTTTTGCATGATCAGGACAAAAACAAATTTACGATACTAGTAAATACAACAGTTAGCCACTAGGTCCTGTAATAGGGGTCGTCCAGGATGAAGGTCTGAACTTTTGAAAATGCCATTGGAAAATTAGGGTTTATTGATCTTTATTGGATAGGGACAGATATTTTGCCTTTCAGCAGACCCCTCAAAGAGTTGTTGCAAGTGTTATTAGCGTGCAGAGAGCGAGGCGAAAATTTGTTTGGACTATTTTAAGCTTAAGGCCCACAGATGGTCAAGGGAAACGATTTTCAACTTTTTCGAATGAATCTTTTAACTCATTGGGGAAAAATTGGTTAAACAAATCTAAAATTTTTGAACTTTTATGAATAACTTTCAGATACAGTTTCATACACAAAGTCAATGATACACTTATTCAAAGTCAAGTCAACAGTTTTTTTCTGCCAATAAAATCAGTTATACTCTCATCAACATCAACATTGAGGTGTGGGTGGGTATGAAGAAGGGATAGATTAGAAAGTCGCTCGTCTCCGATTTCAGGTAGGACTTGACGCGTCGCATCACACTGAAGGATCTTTCACTAGTTGCTGATGAAACGGGCATTGTCAATAAAATCAAAATAATCCTATGCACCGAAGGATACAGATCGGTGTTTAAGTACGGACGGCCACCGTATAAATAATAATACGCATTAGAATTACAATGTGTATTTTTTTTTTTATTCCAAAGGGGTATATAATTGGCAAATTTATGTATAGGCACGTGCCTAGTCGAGCCTTAGGCCACTGAATGTGGCAGCCAAGCGATGCATTTACTAACAACGGTATACCATAATACGTCCCGTAAATGGGCGTATAAAAATGAGTGCATATGATTGGCATAAAAGACTAACATTGTTAGACATAATGAATAATATACAGAATTCAATATTTCACAAGGAACAACCATGGAATTAACATGATTAAGGAAAACTGGGTAGCAACGTTCAAGTGCCCGGTATATGGTTTAGCAACACCCAGCGGCTATGGGTTTTGTAGCCACGTGTGTTAAACAATCAAAATCCTAGAAGTATACTGAGCCAGGGATAACTTCTTATATAGATATAGGAAGATGTGGTATGAGTGCCAATGAGACAACTCTCCATCCAAGTTACAATTTATAAAAGTAAACCATTATAGGTCAAGGTACGGCCTTCAACACGGAGCATTAGCTGTGGCACACCGAACAGCAAGCTATAAAGGGCCCCAAAAAATTACTAGTGTAAAACCATTCAAACGGAAAAACCAACGGTCTAATCTATATTAAAACGAGAAACACGTATGAACTACATAAACAGACGACAACTACTGTAATCAGATTCCTGACTTAGGACAGGTGCAAACATTTGCAGCGGGATTAAACGTTTTAATGGTACCAAACCTTCTCCCTTTTCTGAAACAATAGTATAACATCACAACATAGAAAAACACACTATAAAATATCAATTGGAAGGCTTAACTCAATCAAAAAATTCGTAAGGTTTCCGCGGAACCCAGTGTCTCGCCTACTTTTGCTGTTAATCGCAGGCTCAACAAAAATGAGGAAAAAAATTAATAAAAATATTCCTCTCTATACTATCTTTTGATTGTAAGTAGCTTCTGTCCAAGTTTGGTAAAAATCCAGGATAGTTTATGAATCTAATAAATGTTTTAAAAACTTAAAGTGCAGACTGTATGTAATGTTAACTGGAAGAAAAACTAAGTCCATTTATAAGTAAAATACGGAAAAAATGGATTTTTTTTTTTACAAAATTTACTTCTGGATACTTTCTTTTGATCATAAACAAGCTTCTTTCCAAGTTTGGTAGAAATCCAGGATAGTTTAAGAAAGTTATTAAAATTTCAAAAACTTTAACCACAGAGTGAATGTAATGTTTCTTGGCAGAAAAACTAAGTCCATTTATAAGTAAAATACGGAAAAAATGGAATTTTTTTTTACAAAATTTACTTTTGAATATTATCTTATGATCATAAACAAGCTTCTGTCCAAGTTTGGTAGAAATCCAGGATAGTGTAAGAAAGTTATTAAAATTTCAAAAACTTTAACCACAGAGTGAATATTTGTGGACGCCGCCAACAACGACGACGACGACGACAACGCCGACGGAATGTAGGATCGCTATTGTCTCGCTTTTTCGACAAAAGTCGAAGGCTCGACAAAAACGTAAATTAACACATAATGAACGAATAAATTTGATTGATTGATTGATTGTTGGTTGCTTTACGCCGCATTAGCACAACAAGGCTATATCGCGGCGACGAATAAATTTGACCTGTGACACCTGAATGCAAATACACAGTTAATAAAAAATTACAAGGGATAAATAATTAAAGTCGAAAGTTAATAAACAGGTTTAAACAAAGTTAAAGTATGATATCACTGTTATATCTATTTACAGGCTAGTGATACAGTAGTTTCACTACTTAGACCATTCAGCCACCGAGGCCCCATTATGGCAGATCCAGGGGAGGGTTGCTGGGGTTGGAACCCCCCATTTTTTTAACGATCAATGCATTTGAGGTCATATAGTTCTCTTACTTTAGATTGCCTTAACTAAATGGTATGAAAGTTATAATACACAATACTTATTACCACAAAACTCAGTTCAAGTACAAATTTGGGTAGCATCACTTTTACCATTCTTCATGATCAGTTATGTCCCTTTATGCCAATATGTTTTTTCAGTAAAATACAAATCTATACAGTAGGGTCAAAATGTTGACCCTAGAAACTGATGAGTATAATAGTACCAGGTAAAATATGGAATTTATGAATATTAGTCCAATAGTCCATGTAGAATATGGAAAATGAATAAAAAAAATTATATCTTGAAGTTACTCCTGAATTTAAAATGGTAATTGTTCATAAAACATGTAAACCATAATGCCAAAGAAGTATAGACCTATGTCTTCTTTTTGTTTGTGACAATGCAAACATTCTATAGCCAATTTCAATGAATTAAGACTGAGATGTAGGGTTAAATAATTTCCACAAAGACAAGAAATGCCAATGCTAATCATTCTTATACAATTTTATACCAAAACTACCATTCATTGACTAAAATTTATAAGCGGTTCCCTCTAAACTGGATAAAGCACAAACTTGAACCTATATTAATTACATTTTTCTGATACTAACGTTTCATAGATTATGAACTATGATGAGGGAACAGTACAATATATATATAGGAAGATGTGGTATGAGTGCCAATGAGACAACTCTCCATCGTAGTTACAATTTATAAAAGTAAACCATTATAGGCCAAGGTACGGCCTTCAACACGGAGCCTTGGCTCACACCGAACAGCAAGCTATAAAGGGCCCCAAAAAATTACTAGTGTAAAACCATTCAAACGGAAAAACCAACGGTCTAATCTATATAAAAACGAGAAACGAGAAACACGTATGAACATGATGAACTACATAAACAGACGACAACTACTGTAATCAGATTCCTGACTTAGGACAGGTGCAAACATTTGCAGCGGGATTAAACGTTTTAATGGTACCAAACCTTCTCCCTTTTCTGAAACAATAGTATAACATCACAACATAGAAAAACACACTATAAAATATCAATTGAAAGGCTTAACTCAATCAAAAAACGTAAATTAACACACAATGAAGGAATAAATTTGACCTGTGACACCTGAATGCAAATACACAGTTAATAAAAAATTACAGGGGATAAATAATTAAGGTCAAAAGTAAATAAACAGGTTTAAATGTAGCATGTATAGGATTGCATACCAATATATTTAACAGAAAAATTTCGATCTGATCTGGAAATTTGAGTGATAATACAAGAACGCAAATGTTTCTATTTCTATTCAATAACTGGTCGTCTCCTGTGTAACAACTTTTTATATGAAGAATCTGCAGATGGTTTGTTGCAAAGCAAATTTTATTGCCACCACCACCTATCTTTCATCCATAGTTCCTCCCCTCTCCAACAATTTTTACAAAATTTTTAGAAGCTACTTAAGTTATTTACATCTATTATTAACATTTTATATCATCTTGAATATGCATTAAACATTTGCCACATTACAGTAAACAAGCAATGTCTAAGCAGATGCATAGCTGAAGATATGGTATGGGTTTTGCTCATTGTTGAAAGCCATAGTAACATACCATTGCTTAAATCTGCAATATTTGGACTCTCAGGGATAGTTGTCTCATTGGCAATCATTATAAGTACCACATCTTTTTTATTTATGACTACTGATAAAAATCAACCTATCAAGTCTCCTACCTGTAAACTTTGATTAAATCTTCTGTGATGAATGACCTCTCCTTTATATCAATTTCAAAATTCATAACTGCTTCTCCTTATGTCAATCATTGGCTCTCTTCAAATATCCTTTCTATGCATTTAACCATGAAGATTCTTCATTTGATTCATTTACTAATAGAAATTTCCTGCAAAACATAAAAACATGTCAATTAGGATAAACAAATAGACATATTATTTTTAGAATATTTGTACAAAACTGAGTAGTTTTGGTAGTATAATAAAAATCTGACCCTGCAATATTAATAATCAGTACAAAGAAAGATAACTCTGTTCATTTAAGATGACAATATCAACGAGATGGCTCTAGGGAATGTGTTGGTTTGTGCAAACTTGTCATATAACATGTATAAGGGCAATTACAATTTTTGGCAAAATTTGACATATTTGTAGATCTTGTCTTGCTGATCATTTTTGCTATTAAAGTGGCTTTCTATCTATAATAGTAAAATGTAAAATATTATTATTGTTTTTCAGAAAAGGAAAAACAAATGATAAAAGTCATCATTAAACAGTCAATAACTCTTATAATGAGTAGTTTTTAATTTCGTTAAAGTTTGACTTGTTTGTAGATATTGTCTTGTTGATCATTTTTGCAATTTGAAGTTTCTTTAAGCTGTAATGTTTCCAGGGGCGGATCCAGCAATTACATAAGGAGGGAGGGGGGTCCCAACCAAGGATAAAAAGGGGGAGGGGGTTTCCAACCATATGTCCCCATCCCTCATTTACATTAAATGTAAAAAAAAAAAAGGGGGGGTCCAATACATAATTACTTTTAATTTTTTTGGCAATAACCGAGATATTCAAATATTGTTTGGCATAAATTCTTATAAAATGATTATTTAGACTTATCTGATTGAACCAATATTTTATAAATATGTGCTTTTGTGTTTCATAATAATCATTCATTTGAACCTTTTATTCTGAAATCATTCATTTTGACCATTCATACAAAATCATTAATGTAATACATTAATTCATATCAGTATATTAGAAGGCATGTGAGGTATTAATTATGGAACACTGACCTTATTTGAAAAAAAATCAAAGATGTCCACCAAATTTGAATAAAATTATATAAGGAACAGCACAGCTCCAATCAGTTCAAAATATAAGTAAAGTCTGACTAAACAAAAGAATTTCCCTCCTAAATAGACACATGACTTAATGAACCAATTATCATAAAGGAGATAGAGTTTTCATAGCACAAACTAGTTAAACCTAGAGAGTAAACTAATACTCAATGGATCAAAATTCACTGAGCCATGAAGAAAGAAGTCTTACAATAAATAAAACCACTAATGCATTACTAGAAACTACTCATTAATTACTTAGAATTAAATTTACTAAAATCTGATGTAAAATATAAAAATATCAAAGTTTGATACTCAAAACAACAGTATCCAAATTAACATACTACATGTAGTTACCATGGTTACTTGTTTGATTAACATTCAGTGGCAATAACATTTAAATGGAGTACTTCTGAGTTTCCCCCCAAAAAAAACATACATTTTCTTTTGAATATTAAAAAAAATATCTGAAGATTTTGTTTTGGTGATTATTTTGTGAATCTTGTCCTCATGATCATTTCTGCTCTGAATTTTTTTATTGCCCCTGCCGCAGTTGAGGGGGCATTAAAATTAACCCTTATCTGTCTGTACGTACGTACGTCCCAAAATTGGTTTCAGTTTCTAACATTAGTTTGCCTCAACCAAATATTATGAAACTTGAACACAATGCTTATTACCACAAAACACAAGACAAGTTTGAATTCTGGTGGCATCACTTTTACCATTCAAGAGTTATGCCCCTTTACAAATGAAAAAAAATGCTGAATTTTATGTTACGTTCTCCCACTTAAGTTTGACTCAACCAAATGATATGAAACTTATACACAATGCTCATTACCACAAAACACAGATTGAGTTTGAGTTTTGGTGGCATCACTTTTACCGTTCAAAAGTTATGTTTTTTTTCCAAATAGAAAAGTTGCTGAATTTTTTGTTTCCAACTTCAGTTTGTCTCAACTAAATGTTATGAAATGTATATACAATGCTTATTACCACAAAACTCAGTTTAACTTCAAATTTTGGTAGCGTCACTTATACAGTTAGTGAGTTATGTCCCTTTATAACGTTATATGCTAGCGGGGACATCATCTGAGTCCCTATGGACACATTCCCCATATATTTTATCTTTTATAGTTTATGAATTAAAAGGAAAAACACTAAAATTGGTAAAAATCATCAATTAGGGGCAATTACTCCTTTACAGAGTTAACCAACAGTTTTGTCCTTGTCATATTTCTTGTCTTGCTGTGGCCAGGTGAGCTAAAGTAAGGAGTTGTTGTATAATTGCAAATGAGACACTTATACACCAAATACCAAATGATGTAGATGCTAGCTACTTTTGTTCATCATACAATCTTTAACGATGATCCTTAAAGCCATAAAACTCTATAGCAAGCTATAAAAGGCAGTAATGAACCAATTTAAAAAATAAAATAAAATGAGAAAACCTATGTCTGATTTACGCTTAAACTATAATATTAGAATTACAGCCATTCAATCACAGGCTCCTGACTTTGGACAGGAATTTAAAGAATGTGTTGGGTGGGGGAGGAGGTTTCATAGGACTTAATAATGTTCCCTATGAAATAATGTCTAACAAAAATTTTTTCATAATAAATATAAATACTGTCCATGGACAATATTTACTTATTTAAATGTGTGCAAGCCACAATTTTCCTATGAAAAATGGCCTTAGGTATGAAAAAGTGTCCATGAACATATATCACTGTATATAGCCATATTTAATCATGTTAATACTTCTATGATTTTTTTTCATACAATTAAAGTATAATATAATAGCCATGTTATTACAAAACATATTTTAACCTAATATATATATATATATTGCTAACTTTTAATACATTGTTTCTTAGACAGAGAGAAGTGTTGTCTCATTGGCTCTCATACCATCCTTATATTCTTGTTTACATTTTTATACGACCGCAAAAAATTTTTTTTGGGTTCGTATAATGCTATGTCGTCGTCTGCATCGTCATCCGAAGACATATTTGGTTTCCGGACAATAACTTGAATTTATGTGAATGGATCTCTATGAAAGTTTTTAAGAAGGTTACTACAAAAGGATGGTTGGGATTTATTTTGGGGATGATGGTCCCAACCGCTTAGAAATTAGGGGCCCAAAAGGGGCCCAAAACAAGCATTTTTCTAGTTTCAGGATACTTACTTGTGTACAAGTATTTCGATTGGTCTGAAATTATACCACAATGTTAATGCCACATTTTGGGGGTTATGGTGCCAACAGATTGGCAACTAAGGGCCAAAAAGGGTAAAAAAAAAAAAAGCATTTTTGTAGTTTCCGGACAATAACTTGTGTGTAAGTGTATGGATCTCTCTGACATTGTACCACAAGTTTCCATATCAAGGGAAGGCTGAGATTGAGTTTGGGGGTAATTGCCCCAAACATACAGGAGTTGGGGGCAAACAAAGGACCAAAAACAAGCATTTTTCTAGTTCAATACCACAAAGGGAAGGTTGGGATTGATTTTGGGGGTTATGGTACCAAAGGTTTAGAAATTAAGGGCCCCAAAAGGGTAAAAAACAAGCAATTTTGTAGTTTCCTGACCATAACTTGTGTGTAAGTCTATGGATATCTCTGAAAATGTACCACAAGGTTCCATATCACAATGGGAATACTGGGATTGGTTTTGGGGTTATGGTACCAACGGTTTTAAAAAAATTGGGGACCTAAAAGGATAAAAAAACAAGCAATTTTGTAATTTCCAGCCATAACTTGTGTGTAAGTGTATGGATCTCTATGAAATTGTACAACAAGGTTCCATATCACAATGGGAAGACTGGGTATGAGTTTGGGGGTAATTGTCCCAATTGTTCAGGAATGAGGGGCCAAAAAAGGGGCTAAAAACAAGCAATTTTGTAGTTTCTGGACAATAACTTGTGTGTAAGTGTATGGATCTCTCTGAAATTGTACTACAAGGTCCCATATCTCAATGTGAAGACTGGGTAGGAGGTTGGGGGCCAATTAGGAATTAGGGGCCAATAAAGGGGCAAAAAAATAGCATTTTTCTTGTTTCCAGACAATAACTTGTGTTTAAGTGTATGGATCTCTCTGAAATTGTACATGCAAGGTACCATACCTCTAAGAGAAGGCTGGGATTGAGTTTGGGGGTAATTACTTCAAGGGGGGTCAAAATAATTGGGGAAGGGGGGGGGTCATAAATATTATGTATTTTTTTTTTAATTTTCCATTTTTCAATCAATTACATTAGATATATGTAAAAGCAAAAAATATTGATATAACAGGAGAAACACACAAGTTATCATATGAAGTATTGTGCAATCGCAAGAAATCTTCCAATTGCATAGAATTGCGCTATAGCACAGTATTGCGCAATAGCAAGAAATCTACAATTGCACAGTATTGAGCAATAGCAAGAAATAACCAATTGCAAAGTATTGCACAATAGCAAGAAATCATCAATTGCACAGTATTGCACAATAGCAAGAAATCTTCAATTGCACAATATTGCACAATAGCAATAAATATCTTATTGCACAGTATTGCGCAATAGCAAGAAATCTTAAATTGCACAGTATTAAGCAATAGCACAGTATTGTGTGTAGTAAGATGTCTCATTTCAGATTTCAGAAATTAAAAAGAAAATGTCTTCAAATATTCAATTCACAACAGCATAGTGTATTGCACAAAAGCAAAACATTGAATATAAATTCAAATAATATAACCAATTCTAAGTTCTTTGACTACAGTTATTCTGTGTCAGAAACCTGGTATGTGTCAAATATTTAATTACAATCCAAATTCAGACCTGTATCAAGCGCGAATATTGTGTTCATTTTTGCCCCAACTGTTCAGTGTTGAACCTCTGCGGTCGTATCCAGCTGCGCTCAGCAAAGCAATTTATTATCCATTTGGGAATGGGGGTCAAAGGGGATATTTTTCCTTTTTTAAGACAAAATTTTTAAATTGTACACATGACTGTTTTTTTTTTATATATTTTTCAATTTTATCTCAGTTAATTTTAAGCCCCCAAGTCAAATCGGAGACTAAAAAACTGGTACTCCAAACGGAAAAGATAGGTGACCCACTGCGGGCGTTTGTCTTGGTGAACTAGTGTAACAAAAAATTTGTTCCGGTGTGACATTTGTTCCAACAGAACAAATTTCATAGGAAATATGTTCCATCCGAATTTATATCACAGAAAATATGTTCCAGCACTGTAAAATTTGTTCCAGAACTAATTTTATGACCAAATGTGAAATAAGTTCCGGAACAAATATCATAGCTCCATGAATTTTGTTCCAATCAATATTACATGTATTTAGAGTTATAAATAAGATAAATATTTAAGTTTCTGTGATATTAGTTTTAAACGAAAATGTACATATTTCATAGAAATTAATAAGTTCCGCTCAAACATATTTTCACAGAAATTAGTACTTTTGCAACATATTGCACAGCTAAATATTTTCTTGTTACACTTAAACTATAATGCAAGCTAAATGCTGTACGGAGTGTGCTTGCATGGAATACATTTGCAATCAAGGGATGTCTGTAACCATATAGGATGAAGATACGAAATAAAGCCATTGAAAAGTATTATTATTTGTATTTATTTTTTATGTAGTATTCCTTCTTGGTTCCTTTTAACTGTCATGGCCCCTTGTTCTTATCATACATGTACTGAGGTCATGACACAGTTTCAAAAGAGTATGTCTTTTGAAACTACATGTCTTTTGATTCAATTGATCAGTTATTATGTCCTTTTCAAATAAGTACATATGTTCATCCTTAACTATACTTTTTTTCTGAATGATTTTTCTTATTCTACTCTTTTCTGGCTCAAAAGTGTCATTTTGATAACCCCCAAGGGTGACTGGGGAATAGAAGTATGGTCACCATTGGTCTTCCTCCGACCGGCAGTAAAACCCGTGCTAAAGTGGGGCGTCCGTTTGGCTGTGCGGGATGTACAAATTTGCAGCCACGTCCGGTCAGAATGGGGACGTTAAATCCGATGCCTCGTGTAAAGAGAGTGCCACGCTCTTTGCACGTTAAGAACCCTTGCAACAACTCTTTGAGGGGTCCGTAGGTGACCTGTTGCAAGGCTAAATTTCTGTCCCTATCCAATATACCCTCATTTTCCCGTGGCAGTCTAAATTTCTCCGACCATAATCCCTAATCTATTACAG